ATAGTATATATATATATATATATAACTTTAAAAATATAGCAGAGATTTAATGTTTAGATACATACCACACAAATCCTATGCATTTACATTTCTAACACCTAAATCGTTCATATAACATATAAAAATAACACTATATATTTTAACTTTTGAAATTTATCTTTTCATGCATGCAAAGGTTAGGTGGTATACATGTAAAAATTGAAGTTTAGAGGGGTATGTATGCAAATCTTCTTAAATTGTTATATACATGCGATGCTAGGAACTAAATTGCAGGATAAATAAGATGTGACTTCCTATTCTATAATTTTAACATCAAGTCAACTTATACATAAATTGAACATTAAAATGCATGAACATTAGTACTCCATAATTGATAGACTAATAATAGATTTGTGTGGCTCAACTTCCAAGTAAAAGAATGCCACGTAGATGCATGAATCCTACACTAATTCAATAATTCAAATGCATGTGCGGGGATTCATGCACGTAGCTGATGCTTCTCTTTCATCCTTAAAACCACGTCGCGATTATACATGTTAAAATTATATATATATATATATATAATTCTTCTTATTTCTACATGTATTATCTTTGAAATCCCTCAAGTAAGTAAAAGGGAGATAAAAGCTTAAACGTCGAGATATTTTTTGGTGTAACAGTTAAAATTTGATAAGAAAAACTTTGAAGTCAAATGTGCTCTTGGGAGAACACTCTTGAAATGAGTGACTTCATGGACAAAACTATGAGGTCATTAGACCAAAACCAACAATATCTCAATGTGTGAGATTTCATATTATCACAAATGATATCAGAATATCACACCAGTCTGCAGATAGAGGAATCTACCTAATAGATGATTTTGGGTTAAGAGAGCTGAGGAGAATGTCAATTACTTAAATGTGGGGGAGGTCTTTAAAACCCTTAATTGAATCGAGTTGAAATCTTAAATATTGAATCACCTTTTGGGTATAAGGGTTGGAGTTTCATTCCAAAATCTAAAGTGGGCTCGTGCCTTTTACGAAGTTACACTATTCAGACAAATCATGAGATTATTAGGCCAAGGTTGACAATATCCTGATGGATGAGAGTTAGGGTTGTTACGCCTTTCCAACAAAAAAAATTTCCAAAGCTTTTCCAAACTCATCCAGATATAAATTTCAGTACAACCATTTAACCATATTAAAACCTTTTGTAATAATTGCTTCATTCCAAATAGTGAAACAAAATTCAAAAATCAAAGTTAGAAATATTATAGTCTGTTAAAGCATAATAGAAATAACTTTTTTAAATGAGGCTTCAAAATTAGAGATTTAGAAAAGTGAAAAAAGCTATTGCTATTAAACTCAATTTTATTTATTTATTAAACCATTAAATTATGCAAGCTGTGAGTAGTAAGAACTTTAAAATAATAGCTATTAGTATTTAGCAAATTTTGAAATTAAAAATTAATATTTCAAATAATTTTGAACATAATGAATACAAATAAAATATGATTTTAAATTAACAAAGTAATACAAATCTATTAGACTGAAAATTAAGAATAATTTTAGACAAATAAAATGAGTATTGTATACAAATAAATAGACGTCATTGGCCTGAAGACAAAATTAGCTGGCCGAATGGGCATAGGTAACCCATTAATTTTCAAAAACATAACTGTCGAGTTGATCTGTCAAGCAACACTTGTCATGTACCACTTGCGAGTGACCTGTCGAGTATCGGCTTTTAAGTTTATTTATTGAGTATCAGGTGTCATGTCCCAGTTGTTGAGTTGTAGGTTGGTTGATTTTTTTTTTTTCACGACAGTCTGACGTCAATATATTCCTTAAATAGATTTCATACTATACTAAAATAATTTAAAATTATCTAACTTTCCCTCTCTTTTCTCTCTGAAAAGAGTGTTCATTCCATTTCCTTCTACTTTTTCTATGGGTCTTACCCACACTATATGAGTCTAAAGGCAATTCAGGATTCAACATCCTAAAAGGTGTGATTGACGTGAAACACATCCATATGGTTAAATGCATATGAAATGAAATTTTAATTCACAATTGGTGAAACCGAGCAAGATTTTATGGATTTTAGATTATACATTTGCACAAGAGGTGAGGCCTAAATTGGGTTTGTTCCTTAGCTTCGCTTTGAGTCCACGAATGTCCTCCAAGATTTGCTTTGAGTTGAGGTTGAGTTTGTATAGGAGTTCGATCAACAGGTGACATAGGCTTGGTCTAGGAGTGGGTTAGAGTGCTTAGGAGAGGGGGGTTTTTGGGGGAAACTTCCTCTTTTTCTCTGGGGAAGCTTTTGAGCCGATCAGTTGCTAATTTGGTGGAGTTTGGTGGGATGGCCATGAAAGGTCCTGGTTTTGGGTGATTAAATTGAGCTTGGGCAAGGGCTTTAAGTGACTAAAAATGGTGAGATTGAGCTTAGGAAGGCTGGAGGAAGCTTTGAGAGCAATTTGGCAGGTTCTCCCCATAGAATTGGCAGCACTCTTATAATGGTTGTGAGAGGGGTTCAATTTATAGCCATGAAATTAGGGCTCAATTGGCCAATCCAGAGGGTGGAAAAGGATGCTTAGGTAAAGTTTTAAACGACACAACCATCCAATTGGCATGAGCCACATTGGATGGGTGGGATTTGAGGTTTAAACCAAGGTGGCTCCCCTCGGTTTTGGGTTTTCTGGAAAGTAGGGCGGCCGACCAAGCCAGGGGAGGAGGCTAGCATTGTCAAGGAGGATCATTACAAATAAAATATGATTTTAAATTAACAAAGTAATGCAAATCAATTAGACTGAAAATTAAGAATAATTTTAAAGATAAATAAAATGAGTATTGTATACAAATAAATAGATAGGGGGTGGAAAAGGATGCTTAGGTGGAGTTTTAAACGACACAACCATCCAATTGGCATGAGCCACATTGGATGGGTGGGATTTGAGGTTTAAACCAAGGTGGCTCCCCTCGGTTTTGGGTTTTCTGGAAAGTAGGGCTGCCGACCAAGCCAGGGGAGGAGGCTAACATTGTCAAGGAGGATCATGGAAGGTTTAATGGTGATTAGTTTGGAGGTTTGATGACTGATGGTATGAGGTAGAGAGCTTAGCCAAATTAGGATGGAAGGCTCAATGATTTGGGGGACCCTTAATCCATGGCTCAAGATTTTGTCCTTGGGTGATTTGATTAGCATCCTAGGGGGCTTACGAATGACAGAGATGGTTAAGCTTCGTTAATGAAAAAGACTCAAGCTAATTTGGATTTTAGGCTTGAAATTAGGGTTTGGGCTGACAGATGATCTTGGGCTTGACTTAGGCTTGGTTTAGAAATAAATTAAAGGGTCCAATTGGTTTAGGGGAATGCCTTTAGGAAGTAATAAATTAAAGGGTCCAATTGGTTTAGGGGAATGCCTTTAGGAAGTAAATTCGGGGAAATTGAATTGGTCACATGGCTTGATTTGGTGAGATTTGGAGTTGGGTCGATTTTGGGGTAATTGAAGGCATGATTTCACGCTCACTACACCTTTTAAGATGTTGGATTCTAAATTGTCATGTGAATCACACCTAAGTAATAGAGTATCAGTCGGATGACGGGAAAGAGAAATAAGACGCAAGTAATACTCGGTCTTTTTAGAAACTTGTGGAATCGACCCCTTAGCAGAAATGACCCTCATATTTATAAATCATAGATGAGGTATTACAAATTATATGATTGACCCCCGTTTAATGGGGGTGTTACCATAAATTATAAGCTATTACACATTTACATATTTGTAACTGAATAATACATGTTTTGACCCTGTAATCGCTGTTGACATCGTTTTATATATGTGACTACGCTAGATGTAGTTTTGTATTCATGATTGTCTAGCTTGGTCACATGATAT